AGAATGCAGCAAGTAAGTAAATGGCGAAGTATTGATCTCTTCTCCACTCGTGTTTTCCACTATGCCGAGAAGTTGCAAATGTGTAGTAAGCCTGTGCGAGCAAACGGGTTTAATCATTTATCTCTAAACTTTGATGTGTCTTTCGCAATTGTTGGCAACGAATTTTAAGAATACGTTTGTATAAAAACAACCTTAGTCAATCTTGTGAAAAGGAAAAAAATTGTTTCTGTTCGAAAATATAAGATGGATTCTTTAGAATCGAGGCCAGTGAAATCAACCAATCATCTGGCTTAATATTCTGATTAGGATGGAAAAGATGTGGTGCTTTAAAGGGTAAAGAATTCACCTTCTTCGCCACCGAATGAAACATTTCGGATAAAACATTCGATGAACTGCACATCAACAAACTTGATTTACGTAATAACATGTGCAGGATGTGGACATAATTATATAGGAGAAACGGGTGATGTCATGAGAAATAGTCAGTGAGAGTCCACAAACAACAAATTAGAGACCCGGACAGAAGTATGCTGGGAGTCAGCAAACATATCGATGAATGAGCTGCGGGATTGACCCCTCAGTTCACCATCTTTCCGTTTTACAAGATTGTTGGCCCTTCTGAGGTCATGAGAAAGAACAAAGAAAGATTTTTTATTTCTAGGTATAAACCCGTTCTTAGTGATTTGAAATTACGCTAATTACTCGCGCGTGCTTCAAATTACAATAACCATTGTAATTACAATTAGATTTGTGACCAGACGTAATGAGTCAATAAACACACTTTGCTATGCCTGAAGAGCCGCAACAGCGGTGAAACGCGTAGCGCAAAAGCAAAGAGAAAGAAAAAGAAAAAGAGGACTTTCGTTTTTCATTTATTTCAGTATCTTTATTCGACACAGAAGTTTACAGTTTGTTTACATTATATATATAGTAGGGAGCGTCCTCGATTGGGATAACCTCCGACGCTTTCTTTTATGTATGCACATAATAAATTACTTTAATTAATTAATTAATTAATTAAGAAAGGGCGAACCCAAGGTACCGCCCTTAAGAGAGCTACGTGTTGCTAGAACAAGTTATCTTCTTACAAATTTAGTGCAGAGGACCGAAAGTAAACCTTAAAGAAAGAAGTATTGAAGGTGCTTAACTGAATTTAAGAATTAGGATAAATTGTCCATAAAGTAAAACCGCCAAAGTAATAGGAAATGATCAGCTAGCCTTTTATATTTTTTTAACTGAACGCGTTCATAATACAGTCGATATCGATATTTTTGGACTATGTATTCATGGACACCAATTTACCTTCCCCCCTCCAAACAAATTATTCAGGAGCGAAAAATTATTCAGGGGCGAAAGACGTCATTCCCATCAACCGTGTGCTTTGTTTCTACTGGAAGTCGAGTTTCACGTTTTCCCTCGCGTGTTGGTGTGCTTGCTTGTTCCAAATGGTCGAACGCATCGCCCTAATCTCTGATTATTACTAGAAAAGGAAGATTCTTGCTAGATGCCAGTTTTGTATTTCAACAAAAGAACTCTGTTGTCACTACGGCTTCGGCATATTTACAACTGAGATTCCATTATGTGCGTACGATTTCTTAGGAACCGATAAGTCTTCATTGAGCTTTCAGTCAGGCGTCAAAAAATTTCCCAAAAATTGTTAGGTAAGAATACTTTTAATTCTGGAAAGACAAAACATTTGAGAGACGAAGATAGAAATGGGGAATTTAGTGAAGTGCAAGTGTGATGCTCTAAGGCATGCAAGTCAAATATGGATAGCTAATAAGTTTACCCCTAATTTATACCAGCCAAAGGAAAAACAATTGGTTGAAACACAGTTAGAAATTAACCTATTAGGGTTTTTACGCAAAGAGTGCCTTTGTAGCAGCAAATAATTGTAAAAGAAACACTGTTGCTACGATGGTTTTATGTATATTTACGAGCAAGACTCCATTTTTCGCATAAGATTTCTAGGTAACTGATCCGTCTTCTTTGCGCTTTTAGCTAGGCGTGAGAGAATCTTCGAAAAACTTGTCGGTAGTTTGGAAAATAAGGAATGCTGGAATTACGTGCCGGAATACCCGGAATARCCAGAACTCCCGGAATGACCAAAAAATAATAAATTGCAAAAAAAAATTACCTAACAATTAAAAATAATAAGTTTGAATAAATAATGAGAAAAATTATTAATTAAAAGAGTAAAAATAAAGTGCAAATAAAAATTAAAAAGAAAAAAAAGAAAATCAGTTCTTTATAAGTAAAACCAAAAAAATGCAAAATTTTCTCTCGATAAAATGCAGAGACCACGTGACGTAAAAATAACTACCTATGGCACTGTTCACGGAGATGCACATACTAGAACTACATATAGCTTACAGCCTACAATATACAAACTGATGCCTAAGATTGCTTCAAGGTAAATAAACCAGAAGTTTGATTTATTATTGACAGACCTAAAGCACTGTGGGTTCTAAGTGGAAAAAGGGATGTAAATACGATAAGTACTTAGCGAGCAAACCTAAAGTGCCACCGCACTTAAAATCTGTCAGCACAAGCATTTTCTAATGCCACCCAATTTTTGCGATTTTTTATAGATTGCGATAAAAGTAATTTAATGACTGCAATGATTGAGATTATATTTTTTGATGGATTCAGACATTAACGTTTTTTTTTTACATTTAACTTCAGACATAAAGTTGATTTCTTTTTAGTGGCTTACGATCGTGACAATGTCATTAATTCATTGTATGTCTTGGTCAAATCCCGGATGTCAAATCCGTACGAACGCGTCTTCAACATTTCATGAACCTACCAGATATTTCTGATCTACTTGACTTCGAGTTCTTTCTGTAACGTACATGAATGGGCTTCACGTCAATATCAAAGGCACTGTAGAGTGGTAATTAGTTAATTGAGACATTACTCAAGAGGTAACCACATGGGGGGGCTNAATCATTCAGTTCTACTACAAAAGCTCTGCAGTTTTGGAATTTCTGGTTCATTATTATTGTGGTGTGAAAGTTATCTGAGAAATCGTTGGCAAAGAGTTGTGTTAGATGGAGTCTCCTCTACCTGGTCAGCGGTTACTTCTGGAGTCCCACAAGGCTCCATATTGGGGCCGTTCTTCTTCGTAATATTTATAAGTGACTTGCCCGACGCAGTTCTCCCCGGAAATGCTATAGCGCTATACGCTGACGACTGCAAATGTTCAAGAATCATGGATGATGCTAGCGATCAATGTTTGTTTCAACAGGACCTAGATAATCTTTAACAGTGGGGAATTCGCAATTCTACGGGACTTTAATGTCAAAAAATGTAAAATCATGAGAATAACAAAGAGAAAACAAGCTAATGTCTCTGATTTTTCCTTGGATAATTCCATACCTTGGAAGAAGTTAAAGAATTCAAAGACTTGCGGGTAAGAACTACTGAACACTTGAATTGGAATTCGCACATTGATATTATTGTGTCCAAAGCAAACAGAACGCTAGGGCTAATCAAAAGAACATGCAGAGGACTGGATGACTCAAACACACTGAGAACTCTCCACTGCGCATTGGTACGATCAATTGTTGAATACCTCTCTGTGGTATGGTCACCCTTCACCAAAAAGAACACAGAAAAGCTTGAAAAAGTACAAAAAAGAGCAACCAAATTCATATTAAAGACTGAGGACAATTATGAGGCTCGTCTAAAGAAGTTAAGTTTGATATCATAAGAAAATAGAAGATTTTTAGCTGACGTTACATTTATAAAGCCCTCAACGGAATTATTGACATTAATATCTGATTGACTCTTATGTTGATTTTTACTCGGATGCTGACCATTGTTCATTTAGGAAATATGATAATTTATCTTTAAAGAAGAAATACGCAAGAACAAATCCTCTCAAATATAGTTTTTTTTCACAGGATAGTTGATTCCTGGAATCTTTGCCCTTTGATACTCGTAGAGCAGCAAGTTTAAATAGTTTTAAGGCAGGAGTTAAGAAGTATTTAGTGGATAATATATCTAATTAATATATTCCGTGGAATTTTTGTAATAATTATTTCTAGTTTGAAACATGTGTAATATATTTTTAGCCTATTTAACTTTGGTGATCTGTTTTCATATGGGGACTTGGATTCCTTTTACGGATTATACATATGGCGTTTCTTTTCTTTACGCTTTTCCTTTATAACTTTATTTGTTTTAACTGAGCCATTAAATTGTAATAAATAACTAATAATTACCTTACTACAATCACAAATAACAGCACAACGTCCGAACTCTGAAAAAAGTCGCTTTGAATTTAATTACCCAGAATTTTAGCTTTCCAATTCCAGTTGGCTTTGGCGTGAATACTTTCCAAAATATGAGTGGGAAGCTGGAATATTTTACCAGAATAGCTTCATTTTGTATAAAGTACGCTC